GTGGGTGGGGGTGGTGGGGTGTGTGTGTGGGTGGGGGTGGTGGGGTGTGTGTGTGGGTGGGGGTGGTGGGGTGTGTGTGTGGGTGGGGGTGGTGGGGTGTGTGTGTGGGTGGGGGTGGTGGGGTGTGTGTGGGGGTGTGTGTGTGTGGGGGGGGTGGGGGTGTGTGTGGGGGGGGGGGGTGGGGGTGTGTGTGTGTGGGGGGGTGGGGGTGTGTGTGTGTGGGGGGGGGTGGGGGTGTGTGTGTGTGTGGGGGGTGGGGGTGTGTGTGTGTGGGGGGGGTGGGGGTGTGTGTGTGTGGGGGGGGGTGTGTGTGGGGTGTGTGTGTGTGTGTGTGTGTGTGTGTGTGTGTGGGGTGTGGTGTGATGTGTGCTGTGTGCTCGAGCCGCTGGCCGGCCGGCCGGCTGGCCGGACAGCTGGAGCGCACTTGGGCTCCGGGCCGAGGGAGCGGCGGGCCGACCAGCTGGCCGGGCCTTTCTTGCTTGGCCTACATTGAGTGGGCTGTGGGAAGGACTTGCGTACCGAGGTCGAGTTCGCCTGGGCGGGCCGAGTCGCCAGTATGACCCGTTCTCTGGCGTTTACGTTTTCTTCTTAAGATGCGTTCAGTTTCTTCCTGGTGGTTATGTATGTATGTATGTATGTATGTGTGTGTGTGTGTGTGTGTGGGTGGGTGGGTGGGTGATGGCTCTCTGCCTTTGCTGTTCGTGTCACTGCCACAATACGGAGGGGTCCTTTCAACATGAAGGGGGTGTGTGTGTGTGTGTGTGCGTGCGTGCGTGTGTGTGTGTGTGTGTCTGCCTGCCTGCCTGCCTGCCTGCCTGCCTGCCTGCCTGCCTGCCTGCCTGCCTGCCTGCCTGCCTGCCTGCTGTGTGTGCTGTGTGTGCTGTGTGCTCGACCCGCCGGCCGGCTGCAGACCACTTGGACTGCGGGCCGAGGGAGCGGCGGGTCGACCAGCGGGCCGGGCCTTCCTTGCTTGGCCTCCATCGAGTGGCCTGAGGGACGTGTGTCTGGAGGTCGAACTGGCCTCAGCGGGCCGAGTCGCCAGTACGATGCGCTCTGTGGCATTTCCTTTTACTCTCTAAGATGCGTTGAGATTTTTCATGGCGGTTACTGGGGGGAGGGGGGGGTGATGGGTGTCTGCCTTTGCTGTTCGTGTCACTGCCACAATACGGAGCGGTACTTTCAACATGAAGGGGTGTGTGTGGGGGGGTGTGTGTGTGTGGGGGGTGTGTGTGTGTGGGGGGGGTGTGTGTGTGGGGGGGGTGTGTGTGTGTGGGGGGGGGTGTGTGGGGGGGGGTGTGTGTGGGGGGTCTGTGGGTGGGGGTGGTGGTGTGTGGGTGGGGGTGGTGGGGTGTGTGTGGGGGTGTGTGTGTGGGGGGGTGTGTGTGTGTGCGGTGTGTGTGTGTGTGTGTGTGTGTGTGGTGTGGTGTGATGTGTGCTGTGTGCTCGAGCCGCTGGCCGGCCGGCCGGCTGGCCGGCCAGCTGGAGCGCACTTGGGCTTCGGGCCGAGGGAGCGGCGGGTCGACCAGCTGGCCGGGCCTTTCTTGCTTGGCCTACATTGAGTGGGCTGTGGGAAGGACTTGCGTACCGAGGTCGAGTTCGCCTGGGCGTGCCGAGTCGCCAGTATGACCCGTTCTCTGGCGTTTACGTTTTCTTCTTAAGATGCGTTCAGTTTCTTCCTGGTGGTTATGTATGTATGTATGTATGTATGTATGTATGTATGTATGTATGTGGGTGGGTGGGTGGGTGGGTGGGTGGGTGGGTGGGTGGGTGGGTGGGTGGGTGATGGCTCTCTGCCTTTGCTGTTCGTGTCACTG